GCACGCCAGGCGCGCTCATGGTCGTGCGTGACGCGCCTGAGCAGCCCTGGAAGGTCATCGGGCGGGAAGAAGGCGCAGACGGCAGCGCACTCGTGGAGGTGACGAAGATAGAGGAGTCGGACGTAGGAGAGAAGCGCGCACGGTCATCGACTGGCGAGGATGTGCCCAGCGCGAAGCGACCGCGCGTGTCAACAGAGCCGTCAGCGTCCCCGCCGTGTCTCGCGCCACCCGAGAATCCAGTTGCACAGAAGGTCCTGACGTCTGCGCTGCGTCCGAAGGAGTCAGACGAGAGCCATGCACCTGGCCCAGGAAAGCTGGGCGCAGGCGACGTGTTTCTCACCGAGGGCTGGCGAGAGCGGTGGTGTAAGTGCCAGTCGGTGCGTCCTTCCACCCCTCTTTCATTCCTTTATTCAAGTAAGTATGCGCGGCAGTGTTTCCCCTCCCTGCAAGCACGCCCATACCTTCTCGAGGAAGATGAGACCTACTCGCCACCGGAAGACCCCGACTCGGGCCTCACCCTTGAGGAGCTCGGCCTGCGCGCGCTGCAGCGGCTCCCGCGTGAACGTGCCATAGACGGCATCCGTGCCTTCAACGAGATGCGGTGCGTACCGCTTTCCGTCACGCTGTATACGATCTGACGCGTGTGCGGGGCAGGGACGACCTAATGAATCACCTCCGGCCGTTCGCACAGGAGGGCAAGGTGGTGACGGAGGCGGATATTCGTGCATTCTTCGACGCGAGAATCAATGGACAACAAGCCTCGTGACGCCTGTGGGTGTGTATGATACCTGGTACTGAAGGTGGGACTCGATGGCTGCGTTCTGTACTAAGGTGGCTGGATATATGGACTTGCCCGAGCTGCTGACGAACTGGCAACTCATTTCCGTCCTCGGCGTCTTGGAGCTTTCTTACGTATGTCGTTGGGTTCCCAAGACGAGCTTCAAAATGATTCGCAGCTGCAAAGCACAATGTAGCGCTATCACCGTGTGCGAGCCGAACAAGACAAATATCTCCTGCAGATGGACTGCAAATCTAACCATCCTCAGTTCTACTTCTCGCGTCCGCGGTCATATTCAGGAAGCCCAAGAAGCAAGGTGTGTGGTGCATGATAGAGGAGAACACCATCGACCAGCCCCTGAAGCTTGAAGCTCGAAGGCCTGACCCAGTGAAGCCTCTTGGTCACGTTGTGTCGCATAACAGCAATGAAGTAATACGTGAGTAGGCGAGTACTGTGAGTCTCCAGTACTCCTCGCGATAAGGTACGGCGTACACCATACGTATGAAGACACGGAGAAAGGAAGATACAAACGACTGGAACACCATAAAGAATACCGCAAGAATGCGTACCACAGGGCGTAACTTGTATGGCAAATTATTCCTCGTACCTCTCCATGATCGGCTTCGTTAACAGCTTCAAAAGCCATTCCTCCAGTCTCGCTTCGTTTGCTTTCATTTCATCGAACGCTCCGTCCAATCGATCGGCCGTGCAGTACAAGACGTCCCGAATTTCGTCGTCATCTCGCAAGCCCGCGAGGAACGCCGCGGCCTTCGGGTCGTTTCCGATCTGGCTGATACAGAACATGACGGAGGTTGGCTCGTATTCGGCGGCAACGAGCTTCCTCCTGCATTCCACAATCGCGTCTTTGAACGCGGTGACGGGCTCGCTACTCGGGTCTCCGTCCGTGATCGCGCATACAAGGAGCGGCCGCTGGAACGACGAGCGGGAGTCGATCTTGCTGTATACAAAGGGAATGAGAATGTCGCGACGAAGCGTACTGCCTATCCTGGTCCCACCGCGGGGCTGCCTCTTCACCAGGACCTTGTCCAACGCGTCCATGGAGAGATTCTGCTCCGTCACCCTCGCATTGATGAAGCGGAGGTCCACGCCGTGATCGTCTGGTACGATCTTCGTAGCGATTCTCGCCATGCAAGCAACAAGAGCCCGTTGTTTCGAGAAGCGATTGTCGAGGTTCATGGAGCCGCTGTCATCGCAAAAGATGACCGGATGGTACAGTGATAGTGTGACCAGACGCTTGATATTCTCGGGTTTACTCAGCAGCGTGGTGTGGTCCTGACGGAGGGCAGCCGCGTTCGTTGCTAGGTTTTGAATGAAAGGGTCATTCGGTGCGAAGAACTTCTCGAGACCTGTCTCCTGGACGTATTTCCCAAGACTAGCCGAGAAATCTGCGGCGGAAATAAGTTCAGGCTCCGTCTTGAAAGTAAGAGCAAGTCAACTGCTATGGAAATTGAGGGTACTACTGCGGTGTCGTACCTCTGGCTTTGGTTGAAGCGGCTCCGTGGGTTCTGACTGAGCAGGTTTGGACTGGTTCTGCACAGGTTTAGGATCGCGTTGGACCGGCTAGACAGAAATTCGTCATATGAACATGATATGCATGACCGCGAGCAGCAGCACATACCTGCGGTTGATTCGTTATCTTTCCGAGCGCCGCTGGTTTCGTCTCTAGCTTTGGGGTCTCCACCATACAATACTCAGCCTAAATCGCCGTCCATCAATATGTTGAGATAGAATACGAGAGCATACATACCGTGTCAACGGCAGGCTTAGTCGCGGTGTTGAGGTTCGAGTCACGTATTTGCTCGGGATACTATCTTGGCCTCAGAAGCCTGTGCATCCTCGGTACCTGTGGCCTGCACTACAGTTAGACATGCAGCATAGCCAGGACTGGTCAGCATACCACTTCAGAACTGGGGTTGTTGTCCAAACGTCTTGTAAATTTCTCCGTGGCTTTGCTGCCAAGGACGCTCTGTGGCAAACGGTTACATCAGATACATTGAAAACAATCTGAGATATGGGTTTGCGATACCTTGGCCACGTCCTGGAGAAAGCGACTTCAAGTTGAGCTTAGCGAAGACAGTGATTTGAGAGTAACGGACCTGGACATGAACCTTATCCTTCGCACCAGAGATTTGGTACAGCTTGTTAATCGTGCCGACTGCGACATCCTTGATGAGCCCGCTGTTCACATATGCGATCACGAACATGACCAGTGCGACAAGGAGATCGATGATAGCGCCGTGCTTCGCGTTACGTTCAGCCTTGCTCAGCAACTCCTGCTCCATGCCGACGTCCTTCGCAAGCTCCCTTACTGACTGTCCGCTCGCGTTCTCCGTATCGAGCGAAGCGCCGCTGTCGATGAGCTCGTGGACCAATTCCTTGTCGCGCACTTCGGTGAGGGCATTCATGAGAGCCGTCGCATTGTCGTCCTTCGGGAAGCGTTTGTCGACATCCGCCCCCGCGTCCAAAAGGGCCCGAGCGATCTCGAGCCTGTTCTTCGTCGTGCGGGACGTAGAAGAGCGGTGGACGCTCTCTCGTGGACACAGCGTTCGAGTTTGCGCCATTTTTCAAAAGAAGACGGACGACCTCGAGGTGCCCGCGTACACAGGCTGCTGCCAATGGCGTGAGTTTCTTCTCTCCGCCGATGGAGTTGATCGGCGACGGATTCGCGCTACCAAGATACTGCTAGAGGACGTCCTCCGTAAGTGTACCGTGGTAAGCGTGGTCGTGCAGGTTGATGGCCATCGTTGAATGCGACGTCGCAGGATGAGGACTGAGTCCACCGGGACGACACGGGATCGAGCACTTAAAAGCGTCGCGGTTCCAACGATGCCTCTCTTTCACTTCGCCAATCCAGACAACTTAGCTCGCGCAATGAGGCATGCCCAGAGCGTTGGATTCCTAGCAGGCCGCAAACCTACCATCGGATGCGTGTAGGGTGAGTTGCTGCAGGCTAAAACCCACCCGTATCACTGGAGGATGCAATGGACTAAATCAGTCCTGTTAGCGGTCATGGAACGAATGAATATGCAACGTCTTCGCGGCCTCGCACCGAGTGGTAGGGGCGTGCTGGCAGACACTCAAGGTGAGGCTCAGGCCACACGGGAATAGCTTGTGTGAGAGCTGTTCCAACGTCAGGGAAGAGAACACTACGACAATTCAAGCACGGATCATACCGTCCAGGACGTTTGGGCACCTAGCTCCTCGGATCACTTGCGATTGTCTTGCATGCAGCCCTCAGCCCTTAAACGACCTCTAAATGGAAGCATATCAACCGATTGGCTTTCCTTCAGAATCCGTTCCTATATTCATTGTTAGTGAGAAGTGAATGCTCAGACTGCGAGTTCAATACGACCACCAGAAAATTTGGACGCGACCTCTGGTGATGACTTGCTACTAGCTAGAAGCTGGCACTATCCTGTGCACGCAAAAGTTCAATCACCGATTGATCATTGGCGTAGCACTATTAACACCTTTGTGTGTCCCTCGACCCTCGAGGTGGCAGTGTCACCAGCGGAGTGACTAATTGGGGCTTGCAACTGGCACCAGTGAATCAGTCAGTCAGCATTGATAATTGAGTCTGCGACCCGCACATACCATTGCCATGTTTGTCTTGCTGAAGCTACATCGGGGAACCTGAGGGCCCTGAAACATGGTTCGGTATCGCCACGATGCATACAACACACAGCGGGACACAGACGTTGTCCTCAATGAATGATGATCTCCGTACCGCAAACTGATAGCGCGATGTGAACTTCCTCGACATCTTCTAGTCGCCTCGAGGCGGTAGCCCACTTGAGGACGCCTCATCGCTCAGGAACCAGTGAGGAAACTGAGAACCGTCGAAAGGTCCCGCAACTCACTGAATCTATGTGTAAGCGCCAGACCGACGGATCAATGTCGTTGTCGCCCAAAGCGGAAAATTGAAGTCCTCCTATGGTTTCATGGGCCCGCGGCTAATGTGCAGCTGTGAGCGCAAAGGAAAACGGGGATGGCTCAGAACGCAATTCCGCTGCTCCACATGGACTCACCATACATTATAGTACGACCGGGGCGCGGTGGGAAGAGTGTCTGTAGCAGGATGCTGCCGGCAGTACTCATTGAGTCGTGATTAATGAGGTATCAACACCCATAGTTATAAAGATCGAAATGGTCTCCTGACATTCTCTAGCATCCGCCCAAATTCGCGCTCACCTACTGAATCATGTCTCAACTCCAAGACCTCACCCGCTGCCTCCTAGCCGCCGGTTACGCCGCGCACCCCGATGGGCAAAGCACGTACCTGCTCTACACCAACGACGGCACTCTCGTATTGAAGCAGTGGACGGGTGACTCCTTTGGCAGAGAGGAGCTCGTCGCAACGGCTGTCCGTCCTGAGTCGGCGGCTGCCATCCTGCCCGACCCTGTGGACAGCCTCATATTCGCTATCACACCCTCCTCCACCCTTGCAGCCTTCCAGTACGATGAGGATGAGGAGGAGTGGCTGCAAGATCAGGCTCTTTCCAAGTACGACGTACATGGAAAGGGTAACCTCTCTGCATGCTACACCGTCGATCACCGCGTTTGCATCGTCTTCCAGAACGCGAGTGGCGCCCTCGTGCGTGTCGAAGAAACGGAGGTCGAGTCGGACGGGAGTGCGGACAGAGGAGCTGCATGGGCAGCTACGATCTTGAAGAAGGCGTCCGATCCGCTCCATGGGACGCCCATCTCTACCGTCTTCGATGACAAAGGCCTTCACGTCTTCTACGTCTCCGCAGCAGACCAACGTATCCACCACCTTCGTGAAGGTGCAGCGTGGGCGGACGAGGAGATGTTCGATCAGACTTGGGGTTCCTTGCACGGGATCGTTGGGTCGACGAACAAGGAGAAAGGAGGCAGCTTCGAGGCTTACGTCCTGACCGCGGAACGCGTCATTCTGCAGGTCGACGACGGAGGGGACAGGCGTGAGTTGGGGAAGGTTGACAAAGATGGGAAGTTGGTGCCGAGCATCACTGCCGAGTGCTTCTCTGTGCTCGGATTTTTCATGGTGTCGTTCAGCTTGAACGTCAGCGTGCAGAGGAGGAGGAAGAGAATCTGCTGGTACTGAGATCTGGAATCATGTCCGATGCCGCGTACATACCTAGGCTGTTTACATGACCAAGCACGGCATCTTCTCATTCCCATTGATTAGCTTCTCGGTCCGTCTGTGTCTGTATTGACTTTTGAATCGATCGTACCCACTATGACCCAGACCAATGATCGCTTCGTGATATAATTACACATGCTTCAAGGAGAGCGCGTCCTGGTATATATATACGATCTGTCGATTCTCCGTGAGGGGCACATCAGATACAAGGATCTGCTCGACCTTCCACTCATCTGTTTGCCGCCATGGCCTCGAAGATCTATATGCCTGAATACATGCAGCATCCTGGCTGGACCGGTCAGCACCCGGACACTATCCAGGCTAACGGACTCCAGTTTGCCGATCTAGACGTCGGAAACTGGACCGTCAAACTCGAGTTTCGCGTCGGAGGCAAGGTCGCGAACGGCAGCGGATTCCTCATCAACGTCCCCGATTGCCCCAAAGCTGTCATCCTTACAGCTGGCCATAACCTCCTCGGTCCCGACGGGGCACGTTCCACAGACCTCGCCGTCCTCGAGGCGCCAGAGGCAAAGTATGTCATGCCGGAAGACGATGTCCACATTTCTGACGCTTTCACGGCAAACCGGCGGTGGACTGGGGCGCAATCCTCTATCCGCGCCAGCGGTTGAAGGATGCCAAAAAGGATGTTGGATTTGGATTCGGATGGAGCTTGCGCCTCGGTCATGCGGAACATATCAAGGGCACTGTATACGTCAGTGGCTACCAGGGCACTACGCCGTCTGGTCACCCCATCACGTCGTCTGGCCCACTCGTCGCAGCCTATGCAGACTGGCTGGAGTATCGCCCTAAGACGGAGCAAGGCATCAGCGGCTCTGTAGTATGGACGGAGTACCAAGGGTCTCCTACCGTCATAGCTATTTAGTGAGTAAAACCCAATAAGCGTCCCACATGAAGGTCTGTCTGACTCAAGAATATCACAGTAATTCCAGCGCTGACCCTAAGCGCAAAAACGGCGGCAGCCGAGGGACGCGTCTCACTGTCGCTGTGCTACGCGAAGTCCTCTGCTTCGCGCAAGTCGGCCACTACAACGTTAGACTTCGCGCCCACGGGACCCCTAAGCAGGTCCAGCTGCTTCCCAAGCGTGGCTTGTACATGAGCTTCCCGGAGGAGTTCCCTTTCGCTAGAGTGCGGCTTGGACCGGGAGGGGCACTGGACATCCTTCCGGCAGAAGTCAACAAGAAAACTAAACTGCATGCATTGGCAGTTCGGGGGCAATGGGCGCTCTTCAACGCACCGAAGCAGCAAATCACGTTAAGCGCGGACGTCCAGGAGGAATGTCTCTTCAGCATAGATGATAAGACGAAGAAGGGCTCGGACGAGACAGCGATTGAGATCGTGATCGCGAGGGGCGATGGGAAGTTGCAGTTGCGCATGCGAGGAGAGAAGCTGAAGGACCTTGAGGACGACTTTGAAGACGAGGACGCTGAGAGCTCCGAGGTTTCGATGGTCAAATACCCGGGCAAGGACGTAGTAAGTGCATGATGTTATGTTCAGCATCATGTCTACTTACGGGGTTGATCAATACGTGCGTTTTGTACTCGAGCCTGCTCGTACGGCCGAAGCCTGAGGGATGACAGGAAGAAGTTACTGTAGTGCGGGGTTATGATGTTAGCCATGTTAGTCCCGAGCCGCCTATCGCGGGCATTGAGTTCCATGCACATGGCCTGTATCCCCGTCCACACGTCTGGTACATTGTTTCCTGTCTTCTCGACGTATCGAGATGCACGCAAGCAGGGTTCACGTTCTTGTTGCACTTTGGCTTGACCGTACTGCGTCATACCAATGAGCTTGACGGCTGGTCCGGCAGCCTTTATACTTATTGCGGCATGTCTTGACTTAATGATGGGCTGGCGTACGAATAATTAGCTCTGGCGCATGATACAGCTATCTCGACCCCACAGACCCACCAGCGACTTCAATGCGTGTGTCTGACTATCAGACCTCTTCGGAACGTTCATACGCAGGTACCAGTCCTATCGACCAATGCAAAAGTGAGTAACTTCACAGAAACCCCAGTGCCGTATCACTCGACTTCAGAGTAAACATTACGTGCAACCAAAGGCGATACGAATTCATATGTTAAGGTCTGTGACCACTGTACGGCACATTGTTCTCGCACTGTGGCCCAAACCTGCTGGCGAGCACTCACCTTGGAAAGAACCTTCCCTTACTCTATAGAGTGAACGACGCTCGGCGGCCTTCCTCGGACCCATTTTGTGTACCACAAAAGGCGCGCAACTGTGTGTTCCGCTGATGTTACGAAACTGCGGGCCACGCTTCTGCGTTTGTTTCGGTCCAAGCCTATAGGAAGAGGGTAAGGTTAAGACACTCGAAGACAGCAGGCCAGCGCTCCGCCTTCATTCTTCTAATGAGAGCCTGGACGATCGCGCTAGTCTTTAGTAACAAACTCGTAGAGACGGTTCGGCCTCCCACGGAAGTGTAAGCGTTGATATGGTTCGCGGAGAGCGAGAAGACATCGGAGCGCTCGCTGTCGTACGGGTCGGAGTGTACGCCCTATTGCAACGGAGGAAACCAAGGATTCCTCGGGCCACTCACAGAGGGACACCACGACTCGTTTGAGAAGCCGGCTGCTTGCTGGCAGTAACAGGACGCCGTCGATAGTCCTGGTTGTGGAGACTGCCGCAGTGCGAGTGGCAGTATAAGATGGTCATTGTCCAATGTCTGGGGCCGCAGCGACATCCGACCACGACAACGGCCGCACACGACACCCGAGTGATCAATGTCTCAACTCGAAGACCTCGCTCGCTGCCTGACCTCCTCTGGGTATGCGCCGCACCCCGAAGGCGAGGGCACATACGTGTTGTACACGGATGACGGCTCTGCGATCCTGAAACATTGGACGGGAGACAGCTTCGGAAACGAAGAGCTCCTCACCTCGTCCGTCCGACCGGGGTCCACAGCCGCGTATATCCCCACCCCCGACGGCGGCATCCTTGCATACATCACTGACTCTTCGGCCGTCGCCGTTCTGCAGTTCGATGAGGACGAGGAAGAATGGGTCGATGCCGATAACCTACCGCGTTGCGAGGTCCACGCTGACGGCCAACTCACCGCGTCGCTTGACCCCGCTGGCGAAGTCGTCATCACATTCCAGGACAACGCGGGCCGATTGATGTGCCTGCACGAAGCCGGCGAGGGGGAGTCGTGGACTACGACGGAGATCGAGGGCGCTCAAAAGCCTGCCCGAGGAACTCCCCTGTCGATCCGCGTCGACCCCGATACTCTCGCCCTCGAAGTCTTCTACGTTTGCGCAGACGATAGCGCCATACACATGGTCGTCAATGAGCATGGAGGCATGCTTTGGACTGACGTCGTCGTCCTTGCCACCGGGTGCGGCAGTCCCTTCAAACGTGTCCTCGTAACGAAACGACCGGACCAAGCTGGCTTCACGGCGTATGCGCTCACTTGCGCGGATACCATATTGCAGCTGGTAGCCGGAGAAGCTGGACACGAGCTTGGGCGCGTCAACAAGGACGGGAGCGTCGTAGCCAGCACCACCGCGGAATGCTGCATCGTGATTTTTGGGTTGGAGATCAAGCTCCAGTTCAACCTACAAATCGGGGCCAGCCCGGCCAGGAAACGCAGGTTCTTCGGTTGACTTCTTCCATGACCAATATACGTAGCTCGTCTGAATATCTGTGCTCGCACAGAGCCTGTATAACCTAGCAGCACTTCTCATCTAGTATGAGCATCACTGACTGCACGGCGTCACTAGTTTTACGCACTTCACTTCACTGCTCCAATCCACTGTTTTCTTGTCTGGGATCAGCAGCAGGTGTATACATATCGAGAGGTCGGCTATACCGACTGGAGCGCAATCTCTCGGAGAAGTATAGACCACAAGCAGGAAAGTATAGAGGGAGTGGGCGGAAAACTGTTGATGATCAAACTGAAGTGGGATCTAATCTATGCTGCCACCGTCATTTCGGAGTTTAAATACTGTGACATTTTCACAATGGCGCCAGAGGACCCACTACAAGCAGGCCATTGGTATTTACTTACACTCGACTTACACCGTCAGGCTCTGGCCTTACCTTCGCCCCGAAGATCGCTTGCTTCATTTGTGTCCGCTGCCTGAATTCCCGCCTACACTCGTTCCATCGTGATGACATCCTCGCTCGGAAAGCGCAAGGAGAGGGAGGAAGATGGGTCTTTTCCTATCTCACATGGGTATGTTTTCTTATACGAAGTCATCTATCACCGAGGTAACCTACCAGCGTGTAGGTCGACTCTTTTCGTGTCAAATCTACCGTACACAGCGACATCTACGGATCTGAAGACCCTTTTCTCTGATCTCGCACCCGTACGGTCTGCATTCGTCGTGCTTGAACCCGGCTCAGGGGTATCAAAAGGCGTCGGTTACGTTTCTTTCGCGATTAAAGAGGATGCGCAATTAGCTTCCGACAAGATCGCGGAGGAGGGACTCGCGCTGAACAAGAGACAGTTGAGGGTTCAGTGGGCGGAGTTGAAGGTGGGCATGCGAACATATGAAACGGCCATGTCATGCTGATGTTTCCCTATTCAGAGCAAAGACAAGTCGCAGGGCAGGGACAAGGACCAGACGCGATCACCAGTCAAAACTGAGGCAAAATCCCCGGCACCTCGGCCTCAGCAACCTGCGTTAAAAGACCCTCTCGCTATACGCACAGTAGTCATCTCGGGTCTACCTTCATCAATAGACTCCAAAACGCTATGGAAGAAGATTCGCAAGCTCGACGGCGCTGAAAAAGTGGAGTGGCCAGCCAAAACAAGTAGTGGTGATGAGGACAGCGATATCGGTGCGCAAACCTGTCCCCTTGATCTACGAATGCCTGACCTACATCTACGTATAGCCCACGCATTATTCGCCACGCCTTCGGCCGCTTCGGAAGCAGTCAATAAACTACACGCGCACGTATTCAAAGGCTCCCTGCTATCAGCTACATTGAAGAAACGACTTGACGGTCTGGCTAAAGCGCCCAAAGCCAAGAAGGTCGATGCGCCGAAGCAAGGCGCGAAGGGCGGCGCACCGAGCCGCGCGAGCCGGCTCATCGTGCGCAATCTACCGTTCGACATCACGGAACAAGACCTCCGCGCAGTCTTCCTCCCGTACGGACCCATCTACTCCGTCGACATCCCTCTGAAAGACGATGAGGGCGAGGGCAAGCCGCGTGCGAAGGGCTTCGCTTTCGTCTGGATGCTGAGCCGTAAAGATGCGGAGCGCGCGATGGAGGAAACGAACGGGATGAAGGTCCAAGCGGGCATGGCGGCACGGCTGGTGACGGACAAGCAGAAAAAGAAGAAGCAGCGGAGGGAGGAGGAAAAGGCGGAGAAAGCAGCAAAGGGTCAAGGAGAGGATGCAGAGGAGAATGATGAGGGACCGGAGCCGCAGGGGAAAGAGCGTGTCATTGCAGTAGACTGGGCGCTGAGCAAAGACAAGTGGCAGGCGGAGAAGGCGAAGGTGGAACAGGAAGCCGCGGATGGAGACGTGCAGATGGGTGACGAGAGTGGCGAGGCTGGTGAGGATGGTAGTGAAGGCGAGGGCTCCGCAAGTCAAGATGGGCAGATCGGATTGCACGAGGACGATGGGAGTGATGTGGGCAGTGAGAGTGGTAGTGATGAAGATGACCTCACGGGCGACGAGGGTGACGAACAAGATGAGGGCCGGACAAAGCCTACGCTGCCTCCTCCAGAAAGCGGCACAACCCTGTTTGTTCGCAACGTTCCATTCGAGGCAACAGAGGATGAGCTTCGAACTTTGTAAGTGTTATCTGAATTCACTTTGCATTGCTGCTCACGAGCCACAGATTCCGTGCCTTCGGCCCACTCCGTTACGCTCGCATAACGGTAGATCACGAGATCGGTCGCTCTCGTGGAACTGGTTTCGTCTGCTTCTGGAACAAAGCGGACGCGGACAAGGTCGTCGAGCAGAGTGAGATTCTGCGTGCCGAGATGCTTGGAGAGAGTGACAAAGCCACGACAGTGCGTTCCAGTATTTTCTTACATCAACTTGACTGAGTATTTTGGTTTAGCAACCGAAGAAGAACCCTTTCAAATTACCTTCCTTGCTCACCCCGGATCCCTCTTCCTCGATAGCTCAGAACCTAGTACTTCAAGGCCGGACACTGGACGTCATCCGCGCTGTGACGCGGGATGAGGCCGGCAAGCTCAAGGAGGCCGGCGAAAGACAACGAGAGAAGGCAGACAAGCGTAACCTCTATCTCCTTCGGGAGGGAAGTGAGTACACCAAGTCAGCCTTGTACTCGCAGTCCTGATGGATATTCTAGTCATCCTGCCCAATGCGCCCGCTGCCGAGTCGATGGGTCCAGCAGAAGTGGAGAAACGGACTATGTCATTCAACGCCCGGAGGGCGCTCCTTCGCTCCAATCCATCTCTCTACGTGTCGAAGACGCGGTTGAGCATCCGACAACTGCCCCTCTTCGCGACCGAGCGCATGCTCAAGAGACTCGCTGTGCACGCTGTTCGTGCTTTCGAGAAGGAGGTCAAGGAGGGAGCGCGGGAACCATTGACTGCCGACGAGTTAGCCGAGTCCGTCACACCCACGAACGAGGACGAGGCCATCAAGGCTGAAGACGACGATGGCGTCGCGCAGACGAATACATCGAAAGGGAAGGGGAAGGGGAAGGACCATAAGGCTGGTCGCGATACAGGTGTCAAGCAAGCCAAGATTGTGCGTCAGGCAGACCGTGTCGACCCCGTAACCGGTAAAGGACGTAGTCGAGGCTATGGCTTCTTGGAGATGGCGAAGCATGCAGATGCTCTACGGGTTCTCAGGTGGGCGAACAACAATACAAAAGTCGGCCGGATGTTCGACGAGTGGTGGAAAGCCGAGCTGGAAGATCTAGTCAAGACCGAGAAGCAGAAGCCGCAGAAGGATGAAGCGCGATTGAAGCGGTTGAGAGATGAATTGGACAAGGGTGCACCTGTCAAGAGCAGAGGGTCCCTTATTGTCGAGTTCTCGATTGAGAACGTACAGGTCGTTCAACGACGAGCCACCCAGCAACGCGACAAGCAATCTGTATGTTGTTCATCCTACTGAGGAGCTCATGATGTTCACACTTCGTCTAGGAACATGGCACCTCGAAACCGCCCCAACGCAGAGCATCGGTTCCAGCTGTGAAGGCAGAAGAGAGTCAGGAGCGACCAAGCAAGAAGCGACGTCTGTTGGACTTGTCGCGGACACAAGAGAAGGGGCCTGATGCGGATCAAGCCTCCAAGGCCGGTAAACAGATTGGCTCTCTAATCGGTAGAAAGCGCAAAGAGAAGAAGTCGAAGCGGGGTGCTGCTTGAACCAACTATGTTATTTTCGATCCTTGTCTTCTGTTATCCATGCATAAATACGCGCTTCCATGCAGATCACAAACGTTTGTGGCGAGCGCACTGTCTGGGTGGTTTGACAGTGCGCGTCCGGCGAGGACTCGGACTCTTTCCGCTCGTCGAAAATGTAATCGTCAGATCCTCATTCGACTGCTTCTGTGAGCGAGGAGCCGCCTGGGTACTGTAGCATCTGCATCGACGAGTTTAATTAGCACGGAGCAAGGCGGTTTGTGTATCTGGTCCTACTGAAGTCTTCGGCAGAGGTTCTTCATCGACCAACTGGTCGACAGTCGTCTGGACGGTGACTTGAATGTCCTGTCATGGAAGCTAGTCCATCCTGTGAGGATGTGCTGACGATGCGAAGTCGCTCACCCTTCCACACCTTCTATCCGTGTTCACCTTCCCGCTGAGGAACTTAGCTACTGTTCCCGCTGCAGAAATGATCCCTTCTCCGCGAAGCTCGTCATTAGCTCGGAGACCGCGCCTGGCGTTGAGAGTCGCTAAAAGCGCGTTCAAGGAAACTATCGCAGGATTTAGTAAAACACATCGCTCTTTATCATCGCCCACCTTTAGACAGGACTGAATACAGCGCAATATAGACGCTGTTGTGCGTCATGGCTGCGTACTGAATGCAGAATAGTTAGCAGGTTGGCGTTTGACAAAAGAACGTTTTCTTGCTGTGACAAGGCAGATCAGAGCGCATATGCTAGCATGCGAATGAGCTGTGAGTTCGGCCTCTACATCGAAATAACGTTACAGACCTTGTCGTGGCACCCGTTTCGACGCAATAAGCAATTAGCGTGCGCACAACGAAAGTAGTCCTGGAGCTGGCGAAGCAACTTGATGGGTCAATCACAAATACAATCAGTAAACGGCGCATACTTGGAAGCAGCCCTTAGATGTTTCTTCAGGATGATGTACAAAGACACTGCTATCAAAAGATTTCCACATAGACAGTCGACGAGGCCTGCATAGATCAAGCCCTGCGGACGGAGCTGGCTCAGTACAATGTACATCCATTGATAAAGGAGCTGACCGATAAGGTTTTGCTCCTGAATGCATCGATTGTTTGGGCGGAGGTACTGCTCATTTACGTCAGAGACAGATAGTGCTTGCGAAGTAGCAGGTAACAGTACGTCTTAGCCATGAGGCCTGGGTTACATTTAGCACGGACATCAGCATCAAGACGATGAGCATTCCCAGTGACGGACGTACCGCAGTTCAGTGCTGATCATAACGATGAATGAGCTCTCGCTAGCTGTAGTGAATATGACGAACGTA